GGACAATTTATATTTTTAAAACTAGGATGTGTGGTCCAGTATACACATGGCTGTTACGAGAGGAGTGGGTCAGTCAAGAATGTTCCAGAAAATCTGGGCCATAGGGCCCATGTCCTTGGAGGACACATCCCAATCAGACTGTGAGCACTCTGGAGTCTAGGGCTCCACAGAGTAGGTGCTCAGTTAACATTTGTTCACTTCCATGCAGTCAAGGGTGCTGCGATCAGAGAGAGGAAGTTGTTTGCCCACGCACATGCACATCACAGAACAGCTCAGGTAGAGGTGAGCCTGTCCCAGAATCTCCCAGTTCTCAGGCCAGCACTGTGTTTGACTGCCCTGTTATCCGCATATGGCTCTCTGCCTGCACTGAATAAAACCTTCCTCCCTCTATTTGTGGCCCAGAGTGGTTGAGAAAGTGGTTTGAATCTATCTTAGTGGGGTTTGTTCCATCTTAGTGTCTCCCCAAGCTGCCAGCCTGGCACCTGGCACATAAGTAGAACGTGGTAATGTCTGAAGGAAGGTTAACCAGCAATTTCAATTGAGAGGTGGTTCCGTGTAAGAGCCAGAAATTAGAAAATTTAGATTCTGCTTCCTGCTGTGCCTCAGGTTTGCTGTGTGACATTGGACAGGTCCCTTCTTGTCCTAGCCTTTAATTATCTCTTCTGTTAATAATAGCAACAACAACAATAAGAGATACTGGCTAATGAGTACCTCCTATGTGTCAGGCACTGCTCGAAGCACTTTTATAGGTATAAACCCATTTACTCCTCCCAGTCACTCCCAGAGATAGAGATTATGAATGCCTCTAGTATTAATAATCAGATGAGGAAACAGAAGCCCAGAGGGGTTAAGTACCTTGTCCAAGGTCACACAGCCACTAAGAGGAGCAACAGGGATTCAAATTCAGGCAGGCTGGCCCCAGAGACCACCTAATCACTGTATGATACTAAGCATCTAGAAGATTTATTTTTTTTCTTGCCTAGAAATGCAGTGATTCTATGAGATACAGAAAGTAGCAGCCGTTTCAATTCTAGGCCCTTGGCAAAATGTTTCTGGTTGAGTTCCTTTAGGCTTTATTAAATAGCAACCAAGCAGATCTCTTCCTAGAAGGAAGGCAACTGTCGGGACAGGATTACTTGGGAGGAATTTTGGCAGAGGGGGAGAAAAAAGCAGAAAAAAAAAAAAAAGGCAAAGCCTGTCTCACTGTCTTGCTGTCTCTCCATGACTGCTTCAGTGTCCCCTGCTGCCACCTTTAACAAGGTCCAGGCCACCTTCGGTCCTCACCTGGGCATCTCTCTGGGCAGCCAACCTCACCTGCTCTGAAGCATCCCAAGTGGCACTAGAGTCAGCCCTTAAAGACAGCAATCAATCACATCACATCCCTGCTTCAAGCCCTCCCATGGCTTCTCAAAGCTCTGAATAAAACCCAAGGTGACCCCTGACCCCTCCCCCCTAGCTCATCTCACACCTTCTCCCCTGTGTTCACCCACCATAGCCCTGCGCAGTCCTAATCAGTGGTCACTAGCCATATGGGGTTGCCAAGCACTTGAAATGAGGCAGGTCTGAATTGAGACGTGCTTGTCCATATAAAACACATACTGGGTCTCAAAGCCATAGTACAAAACAAAAGAAGGTGTAAAATATCTCATTTATAATTGTTATATTTTTTATATGTTAAAATGATAAAATTTTAGATTTGTTGGGTTAAACAAAATTAATATCACCTGTATCTTTTCCCTTTTTTATCATGGCTGCTAGAAAACTGTACATTCCCTGTGTGGCTTGCATTCCATTCCCATTGGACAGCCGTACTCTAGGCGCACTGGCTTTCCTTCAGTTCCTGGACCAAGCTCTTCCCGGCCTCAGGTAGGACCTGGCAGCCCGCTTCCCACAGCACTCTCAGCAACCCCTTTCAGTGACCTCCTCCTCCCCCCTCCCATTTCAGGCTCTCTGCTCTTGGCCCTGCTGGCGCCTGGCTCTATGCTGACAGGGAAGGACACACAGTCAGTTAGAGGCCCTGGGGGCGGGAAGCATGGGAACTGACACACACACACATTGCTCAGCCTGGACTCCTGGGAAGGGGTATCAGTCAGAGGGCTCCACCTGCTGTTGGCCAGGGTTTAGCTGAAGCAGGAATAGTAAGAGAGGGCCTTTGGGCTTTTTGTGTCCATAAAACCAGGAGGGCAGCGCCCTCCAGGTCTCATCATAAGAACTGACCTGGCAGCTTGGGTCAGTTGCTATGTGTGCCAGGCCCCCGGGAAACGCCAGTGCAGCAGAGGTAGACTTGGACTTCGCTGAGGTACCCCAGGGTCCATCTCGGCCCTGCTGCTTATCACATGGTGACCTTAATAGGTCATTCAGCTCCACTCTAAAAGAGGGCTGGTGAGGACCAGCGGGAGGGCCGTGTGTCCAGCATCCATAGGGCACAGTGCTGGAACACTGTGCCCAAGCCATCCAAAGTCCTTGAGACCAGCATCCCCTCCCCACTGTCAGCCACCTCTGCAGGACACTGGCCACAATGGGCACGGGGGCCCCGCTACAGGAGGACCTCCAAGTCATTGCCTCGTTCTTTGTTTTCACCCTGAGACCCCAACTTTGGCAGGACCTGGAAGAGGAGGAGCTACCACCAATTATGGGGAAAAGGCCTATGGGTTTCAAGTGACTGCAAGCTCAGAGTGAGCCAGCCAGTGACCTGATTGCTAAAATAGCCCAGGAAGAGAGCGGACGTTTCTAGGACCAGGAGGAGGCAACTGGGATCTCCACTGGAAGGAAGTGAAGGCACCAGTTTTGGAGCTCTCCCATCCCCGTGGCTGGCTCCAGAGAGCAGGGCGCTCCCACCTCTACGGAGGTCCACACCCTGTGGATGAGAACCGGGTGGGGCAGGCATGGACTCCTCCTGGAGCATAGTAACTCCGGAGGACGAACACTGGGTCCTGCCCTTTTCCAAACACTGACCTTGAATGGACGCAGACAGCTTTTCTAAGACGGGGGCCAGCACTCCTGGGCCTTCACCTCTCAGGTTAGAAGAAACCTGAAACATTGGGGTTGGAAGGGCCCAGGGACACCAGGTGGATCGGGTGCTGCAGTCCCATGCAGGGAAGCTGAGAGCCTGCCTGAGGTCCATGGTGAGAGGGTGACAAAGGCCAGCTTTCCCCTACGCCTCCTGCTGAACTCAGAAGCTCTGAAAGAAATGCAAGGAACACAGAAGATGGCTTCTCTCACACGGTAGATAGTGAATGTTCTGATCTCAGCCCTCGAGAGGATCATCTCCCCATGTTCCCAGCCAGGAAATTTACAGGCTGTAATTGACCCATCCAGAGGGTCTGGGCTCCAAGAGACAGTTGTCCGCTTGCTGGTTCCTCCATGGACGAAGATGGCTGATGAATCCCTTGACCTCTGCGCTGGCCGCCCTTGGCCTCCAGTGCCCTGGCCAGCGTCCCTCAGCTCTGGCCACAGCTGGGCCAGCCAGTGGGCCCAGGAGCTGCCCAGCTCAATGTGGAGAGTGGGATGAGTTTGGCTAAGGGCAGACCCCCTACTCTGCTTTTTTATTTTATGTGTAATTATAAAACCAATTCACAACTCATTATAAAATCTGGAAACTACAGAAAGGTAGAAAGGGGAAAATGAAAATCATTTGTCATCCCACTGCC